AGCATTTTAGACTTGCAGACCTGACTGACACTCCTGCTTCCCAAGTTAAGTTTTGTTATGATGGGAGAATGCCTGTCCCCCCCCGCCCCGCCCCCGGAATTTGAGTAAAGGTTCAGCTCCGAAGATTTCGTAAAATTATTCATTCATCTTTAGATATTGTAGGCCGCCACGATAGTGCTGTGATCACGTGTTTTACACTCTGTGAACTTGCTCCTGAGCCCAGCCTCTCCTGCTTGTAGGGATGGGTCATCAGCTCTCCCTGTCCTGCAATAGGTGTGCTCTTAAGATTAGTTTTCCTTCTTATTGGTCTCCTTTGAGGCGGAAACTCCAACAAAGAGCGGGTGAAGCGGGAAACCGCTTCAGGTGAGATAAGGTGCGAAGGTCGGAAACGCAGCAAGCCAGCAAGGACACGCGTCCCGCACAAACGCTTGCTTCCTTCGGAGCCCCTCCGACTTCCTAGGGAAGAAGAAATGGGTGTGCCGGGGGAGGAGTTCCGCAGCGCGAGGCTCATCTTGTGACCGCTCCTGAGTTGAAGGACTGGAAGATCGCTCTCCGATCCCTCCCACCCGACGTCACCCACAGCGACCACGCCTCCCAACTGAGGGGCGGAGCAAAGAAACCCCGCCTCTAAACGGCCTTCCCGCAGGGCCGGGCCTCCCTGGGGCGGGGCCGGAGTGGAGGAGGGCGGAGAGGAAAAGGAGTGGTCACGTGCGGCTGGTGGCCCACGGTCACGTGACGGGCGGCGGGGCGCAGGCGTCCAGGCTGGGAGTTCTCCTGAGGAAAAGCCTAGTGAAGTGGGGGACCCGGCGGCAGCGACGATGGTGAGTGCGCGGCGGTCTGTGCGGCCGTCTCCCGCGGGGTCTCGGTGCGCGTGGCGGGACTCCAACGGCGAGCGCGGCTCCGAGCCTGCGAGGAAGGAGCGCAGAGCGGTGAGGCCTGACGCTGCCCTGTCCCGGCCAGGCCTGAGCACCTGCGGCCGGTCGCACTGTCCTGGTCATGTCGGAGCCTCTGCCCGCCTTCCTCGACCGGCTTTGGGGGCCGTGGCTGGGCTCCCGCAGCCCGCCCAGCCGGAGCCCCGCGGCCTCGCCTTCCAAGGTAGCCGAGGACAGCCGGTGCCCAGACCCTCAGTTCCGGACTCTGGCCATACCTGCTCCCACCTTCCTCGTCCCGAGCTCGATAGAGTCCGCTTCTCTTCATTAAGCTGGATGTGGGTGGGGACTTTCTGTCTGGGATTTCATGACCCCGGTGGAGGCTTTTTGGCATTTGTAGACTAGGATTGGGGAAAAGAGAAAGGGTGTGGGATCGGGGACTCTCACTTATCTCCAGACAGCGATTTAAGCACTTGGTTTCACTTCCTTCCCCTTCCTTCCCTAAGCGGTTTCTACAACTTAGCGCTTTGGGATGTTGCAATGCCTTGGGAGCTAGGGAGGGAGGAAGATCAGAGCACTTAACTTAACCACACTTAATGGGGAGCACCACTGCGCACGATAGTGTTTAACTGTGTGCCCGCAGCCTGCTTTGGATCGGAGCTCCTTTGGCTCCTGTTTAGCCGGTACACCCTGAGGGTGCCACCTGCTCTCCCTAAGCTCACCGGTTCCGATAAACTGTTTGAGGCTTTTAGCTTAGGCCAAGATAACCGAACCGGGTCTATTTTAAAAACGTCGCTTTGATTAAATAATTCAAAAGTCAGAAATCGTGTTGCTTTCGCTAGAGGTAGGGGGAGGGGCAAGAGGGAGGTTCATCTGGGAGCGTTTTCTTAAACACGTATTTTGAGTGAGCCCAGGGACAGATAAACAGCACTAGGCTATCTGCCTGCTCCCTTGCAGCAACAGACTAAGCAGTTAACCGTTTGTTCGGACAATTAGTTTAAAATGGAAATAACTAAGAAGGCATTATTTGGATGTTAGGGAACCCTTCTTTCATTGCCCTTTAATTTGATTATAACTTTTTGGTTGTATTTGTAAGTAGTCCTTCTAGTTGTGTGCAAGAGCAATTTATTTTTATTTTCAAGGTATTGGCCAAACAAGCGAAATTATAAATATGCTTTAAAACCTTGAAATGGCCACACATGTATGTATGAGAATTTGCTGTTTCATTGTGTGTGGGCTCAGTGAATACATTGTTGAAGCCTTGGGTTCCCTGAGTCCCTTTTCCCTTTTTTCCCCTTTAGTGAAAATTTTTTTTCATATATATTTTGATTGTTTTTCCTTTCCCTCAAGTTCTCTTTCTTTACATTTCCCATAGTAGGCGAATTTTCCTAAGTGGGAGACAAGAAAGTTTGTTACATTTTTAGGTATCCACGTGTAATTTTGTCAATAGTGGGATTTTAAGTAAGACACAACTCCTTTTCTTTCCATCTTCTGTTTTTTAGTGTTTGTGTTTTCTTTTTTAGCTTAATTTTTGTTTTTAATCAAGGTCTTGCAATGTGGACCTTGTTGGCCTGATATTTCCTGTGTGTGTAGCCCAAATGGGTCTTGAATGTGTGGTAATTCTGTTGACTCAAGCTTTCAAGTTCTGAGATGGTGGGGATTAGCCCATCTGCAGCCCATAAGACCTAAGAGTTTGAATTAGTATATTAATTGCAAGTATTTGTCCTGAAATTAGCACCAGCTTTCAGAAAACTTTCCTGATTCACAAATATCCTGAAATCCGGGAGGGATCTTTCTATTTCAGAGGTTTGTTTTGCTCTCTGCCACAGTTACAGTTTTTGTTTTGTTTTTGATAATGGAAAGGTGTGGTTGTTGAGTGAGATGCCCTCTTATTTATGGACTGCTGATATATCTCAGAGGAAGGGCACCTGGCAGAGGATGCTTGAAGCCCTAGGTTTATCTCAACCCTGTAACAGAAGCAAAATCTAGTTAGCTTTTCAGTAGAACTTTCTTTAGATCATATTTCTCTCAGCATGAATGGCATCATCCACTCGCAGAGGGGACTGCCCTGTCCCATCTAGTAGCCAGCAGCTTCCTGTGCCTACAGAACACTTGAAGTATGGTGAGTCTAGACAAACATGTGAGTTCAAATATACACGCAATGTGCAAGACTTGGTTTAAAACAGTATAAAATACCCTACCTTAACTTTTATCTTGATTCTGTTAAATGGTGAGCATATTTTAATATGATCAACAAATATGTATTTAGTTTTTATGCTTTTTTAACTTAAAAAAAGTATGGCTGCTAAAGAAGAAAAGAAGTCAAAAAGAAAAGCTATGCTTCTGAAACAATCAGCCTCACTGGAGTTAGCACAGTATTTATTAGCCATGCTAGTCTAGGCAGGTGAGTGGGAAGACATAGCCCTCTGCTGGACAGCAGACTGCATTGTTTTCCAGTCCAGATACAAAGTCACAGCTAGCTAGATGCCTCAGAGGAAAATCAAGAAGGAGAAGGAGAAGGGGGAGGAGAGAATGAGTAGAAGAAGTAGAAGGAGGAGGAGGAGGAAGAAGAAGAAGGCATTAAAATGCATTGAACATGGGCCGTCTGCAAAGGCTTGTGTTGACTGGCTTTACAATCTTTCATCTCATTTGAATCAGGAACTCAGTACTATAGTGGTACTCACATTTGAAACACAGTTAACTGAGAACCAGAGTGGTACTAAGTGGTGACAGCCTACTCTTCTCGAGTGCAGGCGTACATAGGCAGAACTCTGTATAAAGTCTTTAAAAAAATGTTAAAGACATGGGCTGAAGAGGTGGCTCATCGGTTAAAAGTGCCTGTTGCTCTTATCGAGGACACACACTCACATATTCACACACTCATACAATTAAAAGAAATTAATTGGAGATACTGTGGGGGGCTAGAGAGAATCCCAGGGGTTGGCTCCAGTCCTGGGGGGCTGGCACACACTAAGTAAGCTCTTATTCCATGACTGACCTATACTCCCAGCATACTCCTTCATAATTATATGTTTCCTATGCTGTAAATACTTTCTACCAAAACATTCACTACCCTTTGATGCGTATGCTGTGACAAGTGATTCTCTGAAGTGTTTCCTCCTCTTCCATCTTGGGCTGTCAAGCTTCTCTCCCTCCTTTGCAGGAGGACTTTTAGCATGCTCCTCCTTGCTGGGTGATTAGAGCTTCACTCGTGTGAGTTAGCATGTCCTTGGGTGGGGAGAAGATGAGCTACCCAAAGGTGGCGTGGTACTTCTCACCAGCTTCAGCCTCATTAAAGTGCATCACAACACATGTATCTCATGACTTTCAGAGGTGTCGTGCAGCTGCAGTCCAAATATATGAGGCAAAGTCCGGAGGCAGAGGCTGGAAGATGTCTGTGCTATCCTGGTTTATGTAGAATTTCCAGGCCAGCCATGGCTACAGTGAGAGATACTGTCTAAAAGTACAAAACAGAACAAAAAATCCAAAAGCAGTGGCAAGAAGCTCTGATCTCCAAATGGGGGCCTTCAAGATGGCTTAGTGGGTAATGACACCAAGCCTGATGACCTGACTTAAATCCCTGAAAGCCATGTGGTAGGAGGAGAGAACTGACTCCTAAGAATTGCTCTTTACCTTCAGTTGTGTGCTTTAGTGTGCAATGCTCCCCTCTCCCAAGTCAGTCAATGCAATGTAGGTATAAAACATTTAAATTAGTCAGGTGGTGGTGGTGCATACCTTTAACTCACAGCACTTGGGAAGCAGAGGCAGGAGGATCTGTGTTTGAGGCCTACCTGGTGTATAGAGCAAGTTTTAGCAGATCAGTCAGGGCCACATAGAGACTATCTTGGGGGAGGGGAGGGGGAAAGGAATGAATCTAACTTTTTAGATACAAAGTGTAATAATTTTTTTGTTATTGTTTCTTCCTGTAATAGCCCTAATTTTCCTTGAACTAGCTCTAAGATCAGACTGGCCTCCAACTCACAGTGATCTCCTTGGCTCTACTTCAAAAATGTTGGGAGGAAAGGTGGTTGACACCACTGCCCAACCAGAATGTAATCATTCTGATGAGGCCATGTGAGAGATACTTACTGTTCACATGGGTTCCTTGTTTGAACAGGTTACCCTGCATAGAGAGCCAGGTACCAGTGGGTACAATGCAGTCCTGATAGCATCTCTGTGTGGCATAAGCGCAGATGGATCCAACAACATCGACCCTCCAATGACCAATCCTGTTCTGTAAGTGGATTTGTGTCTGATCTCACAGAAGTGTTGGATTGTTTCTTTTCAGCCCCCTGCTGTGGTAGCTCTGTTTGTCTAGCGCTATCGCCTTGCCTGCAAGAACGATGCTCAACAACAGGATTCTTCTGCAGCTATGTAGCTATGTTTATTGCATGGCTCATCACAGCAAGTTGAGGGAAGACCCCAAAGGAGGAAAAAGGCACTGCTTATATATGCTTTAGGGAGTCGTGTCCTAAACTGATAGGTGCAGCCCGCAAAGCTCGTGACAGTCACCCCATGACGGGGATCACGCATGTGCATTGTCAACCTTCGGGTGGAAAAACAACTGCGCCTTGCTGGCTCATGGACAGGAAACCGGCACCATCTTCAGGAGTGGCACCGGTGGCTCTCTACATCTCCCCCTTTTTTGTTTTATAAACGCAACAGGCAGGGGTAGTGGTCTGATCTCCAGTAACGAGATGGACATTGTAATGACCCTGAATCCTGGTAGTCAGCCAAGTCAGTGCCATACCTGTCCGGCATGTTTTCCCTGGAGGTGGGGCCTTGGCCACCAACCCATATGCAACCAGACTTGCCCTTCTCGGAGCTGCTCATGGCCAGAGTCAACCCGGAGTGCAGTGCTAAGCCAAACAACCTGAGCGTGAAGAATTTATTACAGTAGGCTAAACTAAAGAAGCACCTGTCTGCGTACAATGGGAAAAAACCCCGCAGAGCGTTAGGGCTGTTTCTGGTTAAAAAAAAAAAAAAAAAAAAAATGGACACCCTAACCTGGTGCAATGTCATAGAAGACTCAGGGTGCAAGGGCTGTCCTATTGGACAATTAATGTCCATTTTTTTAACATGCTTAGCCACACAGTGGGAGAGGAGCCTATCTCCATAGCAGCTAGGGCTTGAAGGATAACCACTTTGTCATGTGTCTGTTGAGCACGTAGCTTACACACCAACCAGAGCAGGAGCACCACCCCACCACATAACAGCAGGCCAAACCCCATTACACCCGCCCACTCCTTAAAGTGGGAAAAAGCGGTGGAGATCCAGGAGAATGATCCTTCTGATAGAGAGGCGTCCACACGGGTGGAATTCACATGGACGATGGCCATTCGGAGTTAGTCCATCAGGCTATCAAATTCTCCTGTCCATTCACCTAAAAGATACTGAAAAAGTTGTTTAGAAAGGTTTGCATCTCTTGTATAATTTTCATATTGTACATTGGTGACACATAAACTGGAATATTTCCATTGACAGCCCAGTTGGGCTAGCTGCCAGAGTGTGTCAATTTGTTCCTGCACCAAATCAATTCTCTGATTGACTACTATCAATCCTCCTTTTAATTGTGAATCAATGGAGGCCTGTATATCAAGGGACTGAGCCATAACAGACGACAAATTATTCAAAGTATAAGCTGTCTGTGCTGATTGGTTCAGGGCCACAGCAGCAGTTGCAGCTCCAGTCGCTGCAAGGGATATGGCAGTCACAAGGGCTGCAGTGATGCCAAAATCCCGTTTTTGGTGGACCAGGGTTAAGGTATTGGGAGCCTCTACTGGAACTGGGATCCTCCTGGGCATGCGAACAATCATTATCAAAGGGAAGAAAAGGCAAATCTAATCTCTCATTAGTTGTAAAAAAGCGTGGGAATACTCGTGCATCATGATGACTGGGCATGGGTTTAGGAAACACCGACAGTATTCCCCATCTGGGTTCCGCTGATATTCGCGGAGGATTCACAAGGAGTATCATCAACCACAGGAGCCACAGGAGCATCTTCTTGAGGGATGGTTGTCACTCTTCGAGATAATCGCTCTGGTACCCAAATTGGATTTTCTCCATCCTGTGGAAAAACACAAATAGCTCCCCTGGATCTTATTAAGATAGGATCCGGGCCTTTCCATGTACCTGAGAGCACATCTTTCTATTTGACTTGTTCTTTTGGAGGTATAGGCCAGAGGCCATGTCTATCAGCCGCTGAATGACCATTAAAATCCAAATTTAAAAAATTTAAGGAGTGAAAAAGATATGGCAGCTTTTGGTGGGAGAGAGGGCATTTCCTCTATTCCCCCTTTTTGTTTTATTAGATAAGATTTGAGCGTCCGATTGACGCGTTCCACAATGCCTTGCCCTTATGGATTATAAGGTAGACCAGTGAGGTGTTTGACACCCATCTGTTGACAAAAATGCTTAAATTTTTCAGAAGTATATGCAGGTCCATTATCTGTCTTCAATATTTGAGGCATGCCCCAAGCACTCCAGGCTTTGAGGAAGTGCTGGATGACATGAGAGGCCTTTCCCTGTTAGTGGGGAGGCATGGATAATACCTGAGCAGGTATCCACAGAAACATGTAAATATTTCATTTTTCCAAAAGATGACACACGAGTGACATCCATTTGCCATATTTGTAGAGGCTGAAGGCCTCGTGGGTTAATGCCCACATGAGGTGCTGGAAGAAATTCAGAACAATTTTTGCATTGCAAGACTATTTCCCATGCTGATGCTCTGGAAATAGAAAAACGCTTGCACAGGGTTTCTGATGTTACATGAAATAATGAATGAAATTTAGTGGCTGCTTCTATAGGATCTAAAATAGCAAAAGCTACTGCTCGAGTGGCCAAATCTGCCAGATTATTCCCTTGTGCCATTGGCCCGGGCAGACCTGAATGGGCACGGATGTGGGTAATGAAAACAGGATATTGTCTTGCTAATAAACATTTTTGGATCTCCTTAAACATCTCAGCCACTGTACTAGAAAGCTTAATTAATCCAGGTAATTCTAAGGTTTTAACAGCATTGACTACATAAACAGAGTCAGAGACCACATTCAAAGGTCTAGGAAACACCTTTAATACCTCCAAAACTATGTTACATTCCACCATTTGTGGGGAGTCTGGTGCATATCTGTGAGTGGTAACAACTCCATGTACATAAGCCCCTATTCCTGTTTTTGATCCATCTGTATACACTATCTCCCCATCAGGGAGAGGCATGGCACTTACCATTTTTGGAAAAATCAAAGGATGTGTTCTAGCAAATGTTAATAAAGGATGTTTGGGATAATGGTTATCAAAAGTTCCTAAGAAGGTAGAAGCAAGAATTGCCCAATCATCACTCATAGCACATAGGGTCTGAATTTGTTCCATATTATAAGGCGTAATAATTTGCGTAGGAAACTCCCCCCAAATGGGTAAGAGCCGTTTTTAAGCCCTTCAGGGCAATTTTTGCAACAGCAGTTGGATAATATTCTATAGTTTTTGCTGGGGAAGCTTGAGGGTGTATCCAAATTAATGGACCATTTTGCCATAAGACTGCAGTTGGCAGCAAAGCGGTCTGTAACACACAAAGATCAAAAGGCTCCTGCGCTGAGATTCTAACTAATTGTGCTGCAGCGATTGCCTGCTCCACCTTATGGAGAGCTTCCGCAGCTGCAGGAGATAGGGTTCTTAATGAAGTCAATTGTGGATCCCCTTCAAGCACATCAAACAATGATTTTAACTCTGCTGTGGGTATTTTTAAATAAGGCCGTAGCCAATTAATATCTCCTAGTAATTTTTGAAAATCATTCAAAGTTTTAACTTGATCTTTTCTAATCTTTTGAGGTTGTATAATCTCTGGTCACACAACAGCCCCTAAGAACTGCCCTACTTCTGACCTTTGTACTTTCTCTAGCTATGCTCAGACCATATTTCTCCAACCATTTTACCAAATCTGCATAAGCCTTTTCAAGCTTTCTCATTATTCCCACAAAGAAGAATATCATCCATATAATGAATAATTCTTAGAGAAATATATTTTTCCTTAACTGGTGCTAATGCCTGTTGTACATAAAGTTGACACATGGTGGGGCTATTGGCCATGTCTTGGGGCAACACCTTCCATTGAAACCTCTCATCTGGTCCCTCATGATTAATGGCCGGTAAAGTGAAGGCAAATCTAGCTCTATCTTGCTCAAACAATGGAATAGAGAAAAAACAATCCTTAATATCTATTATAATAACTTGCCAATGCTTAGGTAAAGCTGATAAAAGTGGAAGGCCCCGTTGGACTGGGCCAAACAGTTGCATTTGTGCATTAATGGCTCTGAGGTCATGAAGCAATCTCCACTTTCCAGATTTCTTCTTGATAACAAAAATAGGAGTATTCCAAGGAGAGTTGAATCCTTCCAAATGTCCCAAATCTAATTGCTCTTTTACTAATTGATAAGCGGCCTCTAATTTCTCCTGTGAAAGTGGCCATTGAGGTACCCATATTGCCGCTTCAGTTATCCATGGTATGGGCATCCGTTCCCCAACAGCCCCTAGGAAAAACCCAATCCTGCACAATCATTTTTTGAAATGACTTGAACAGGTTCTTTAATGCCTTGATACTGCTTTCCTATCCCTAGCCCTGGTATATATCCCTTATCATCATATTTTGTGCAGAGATGGAATATTCATTCATTAATTTTAATCCTAAAGCGTTTAAAATATCTCTTCCCCATAGATTTACCGGCAAGGGAAGAACATAGGGGGCAAACAACCCTGACTGACCTTCTGGTGCCTTCCATCTTAGGGATTTAGAGCTGATAGCAGGAGTGGCTTCATACCCTAGTCCCTGCAATGAATGTTCTGATTGGGTTATTGGCCATTTTGAAGGCCACCAGGAGGTGGCAATGATACTTTTATCAGCTCCTGTGTCCAAAATTCCCCTGAAAATTCTTTCCTTCTATATTTAATGTTAATGTTGGTCTGGTATCAAGATCAACTGCAAGATAAACAGAATCAAATTTATCTGAGTGGCCAAATCCTTCTGCCCCTCTGTTTCGTTTAATGGCCCCAAAATCCTCATGACAACTAGGAAGAATAAGTAACTGTGCTATGCAATCACCCACGGAGATGGGAAAAATTCCGCATGGCGATGAGCACATGATCTTGAGTTGTCCCTCATAATCTTGATCTATAACTCCAGGATGGACAATTAAACCTTTTAGGGTGGTAGATGACCTTCCTAGTAATAGTCCTACTGTGTT